GCTGTCTTCTGAGAATGAATTTAGAGAAACAAGGAGAGTGATGTTGCTCAGATTATTATTATTATTATTTTGGTAGCACAGAGTTTAGCGATGATTTATTAAACACAAATAATGTTGCTTTCTGTATCAGCTTATTTTTTTCTGCAATTTTTTCGGTTTGTGGTTTAAATTTGATATTAAATTTATAAAACAGAACTGTAGTATAACATAATTCAAATTAAAAATAAATTTCACTTTGCAATGTGCAGAATGGGGAGAATTATGATCCAAATTAATCTTTATTCCATTTAGTAACCATAGATAACAATGTTTGCTTTCACCAAAGCGTGTCAAAGGTGTGAGTGTCCTTTTCCAGTAAATCTGTCCATCTTGTAGATACAGAGTTTGATAAAGACCATTCAGACTGTTTCAAAATTCAGACACCATGTTATTAGTCTGAACTAACTCACCTCAATTCTGTTGGTTGTGGATCACTTTTAACTAAACTATTTAGAGCTGTTGCAGTTATCCTAAAGACTTTAGACTCCAAATTGGTGCAGAATACTGCAAGTGACAATATATAGCCCAGTGTTCAAGATTCCTGAGAATGTTTTTTCCCCGTGGGTGAATCAGTGGGGTCAAGAAGTTCTAAATTTTCTCAGAACTTCCAAAGTTACAGTGTTGTTTGAAGCTAACATTAGGTTTCTCTCTGAAGAAGGTATTAAGTTTGGCTCTCAAGCCTCAATTGAGTGAACGTTTTTGGTGCTTAGCAGAACTGAGTTCTACAGAGGTTCCAAGGAATTATAAAGTCTTACTAAAATATGTCTTCTGGCATTGGTAAAGTGTTTTTTTACTTCCCATGGAAAATTAAATGATCAAACAAATAATCAGGTAGAATCTCTCTCATCAGTTTACCATCAGCTTGTGTCCTTAGGACAAAAGTAGCGCTGCCTACCTGTGTTGAAATAGTCAGGGTTTTTGACTGGTGTATGTTGTGCTTCTACTTTGCAGTCTGTTCTGCCTCTTGAATTTCCTTTATCTCAGTCCCTGATAGTAATGAAAAATCTGACCTTTTATTCAAACAAACAAAAAAAGAAAAACAGAAAGGAACAAACAAAACCCTGCTTTGTTCTACAGCTAGAAAATGGATCATGGACTTGTGCATTATACAGTTTTTCATTGCTGAAGTCTTTATGTAACAGTATTTGTTCTAGATGAGAGACTGGAAAGAGTAGTGTTCAACATAAAATAGCATGGCATCTCCACCACATAATTTTGTCTTCTTTTTTCAATCTCATCCCTTGTTTTAGGTTTGGATAAATTGACTTTGTTTATTAAATCTCATTATTTTATAGCAGGGCAAATGATAAACATATGTAGTGTCTAGTAGCATCTGTAACACTGCTATCAAGACAGTACCATACCAGCAGTTTTCTTGCTACGGGTGCTTAACTATTGAAATTACAGGTCTCAGCATGTCAAAGTATGTGGTGAACACTTATTTTTTAGTATATGAAGTCTGTTTCAAATGGATTTATTTGGATCTCAGCTTCTAAAATACCACTGGATTTATCAGATAACTTTCTGTAAATTCCAGCCAGTACTTACAACTCCTTTAAAATTTGGCATTAAATCTCCTTTATTTCACTTTTAAAAACTCCTTCTCCACAAATCTCTGTAATTAAATTTATCACCTTTCTATGATATTCTCATGAAAATGCAGGAAAATACAAGCTCTAGGTCAAATTCATTACTATTACTGTTTTATTTCTTTTTGTTTCTTTCTTGATAGCTTGGCTTCACTACATTTTTTTATTCTTTCTGTAATCTGAAGGTTTTCTCACCATTTCACTAGGCAGTCCATCTGCTATTGCAAGTAAACCACATTGTATTGCAGAACAGTGTTTTTATTACAGAAAGGAGGCTCCTGAACTGTTGATGAAGATGAACATCTAGGAGAATGGTTTTGTGTTCTGTTGTATTCTGTAGACTCAAATGCTAAAGAAAAAAAATGCTGAGATAAAGGGTTGACTGAGGTTCAGCATTCAATTGTCAGTAGGGCCAGTTATTTGCACTCATCAGAAGCACTCCTGAAATGTTTTTAAATTCGTTTAGTTGAATTAGAGGTGAATGGAATACTTTTGTGATTGTACCAATTTTTCACCGGCTTACTAATTACCAAATGTAAGTAATAACTTATGTTTTGGATATCAAGTGCAGGTAGTTCTAAAAAGTATGCGTTCCTTAAGAAGTTCTAAGTTTCTTTGCCACATCTACTAGGCTTTGTCAAATCATGTAATTGTTTTCCTTAGGCTGACTGGAGGCCTTTCTGATTATCTATTGTGCTGAAAATGTAAATAAACTGCCATTTGTCCCTTTTTCTTCACTGACCATGGTACAGAGAACTTCATCTAAGTGGAAAGGTGGCTAATTTAATCAGACTGAGAAAAGGAACAATTATATCCTGTAAATGTTTTCTTGTGGAACTCTTTTCTGTGGGATATAATTTAGGTCAAGGATCTGTCAGACTTAAAAACTGATAGAATGCAAACTCTTAGAGCTGCATTGCAGATAAAAGAATATAAACCTTCATGTCTCAATTCATATGTCAGTTTTTAGCTCATGCAGATTGGGAAGAAATTTCCCTATAGACACATAATTTCCAAGTTTCTAGTTTCTGCGTTCATTCACCCTTGTGAAAAATAGCTACCACATCACAGTGAGATACTGGAGTAGCTGTGTCAGTGCCTGAAAGCAATATAGCAAGTCTGATACTTATCTGTAGCCTCAATTTCAAACATGGAAAAATTTTATAAGCTGGTGTTTTTCATTGAGTTTATTTTAATACTCTTGGCTGTGTAGTGTATGTCTTAGCATGTATGGCCTCTGAAAGACTTTACAAGTAAATTCATCAGAAGTACCATCCAGGTTACTTTTTTTTTTTTTTTTTTTTTTTTTTTTTTGTCTCAGGTCTTTCTTTAGGACTGGTCCATCAATTCTGTTGTAATATTTGCTGTTTGGGTACTAGCATTCATCCTTTTTCAGAGAATCGTTCTGTTCCTTTTTGAAACTCATTACAATTGATCTAGCTCAAATGATGACAAATAGTCATTATCATCCAGAACAAAGTTCTTGTTTAGCTCCAGCTCCTTTCTGTGATCCTTTCTGTTATATACTTAGATTCCTTATTTTTTTAATGAGATTTGTAATTTTTATGAACTAGGCTTTAGTATCCCATCAAAACTAAAGGATAGTTCATGTTGGGTTAGGCTGCCCATTGAAGAAAATTGCAGTTTATAAGCTGAAAACATCATTTCCCTTTGTAGCTTCTGTTAAAACAGCAAGAACTATCTGTGTAAATTCTATGAGTAGTCCTGGCCACTGGCATGGGCACTGGAGTATGTCACATGAGTCCTGATGGAAGGTTGGCAGTTGAGAACAGTGTCTGTCCTAAGCCAGAAGATACCATTGTTTAAGAAGGCAATTTGTTATTGAATCCAGGTCAGCTGTTGATAGAGACTGCTTAGCTGAGCTTTTGAATGTGAATGTGCATAATACCGATAGGCCAGGATCACCTGTTCATTCAACGTTGTAGTGAGGGACAGTGGTATGTTGTAAAAGGCAATGTGAACTGAACGCAGAGTATTTTTAATGGTTAAGACAAACCAAATTTCCATTTTTTTGCTATGCAGAAATATCTTGACAAGTCATCTCCTTTACTAAATGGCTGGCAAACTGTGGTCCTTCTGCTTCACAAGAGGTAGAGAAATGATATCAGCACAGATCAGCTGGGTTGAAGAAGAAAGTTTTGTCTGAAAAAACTAGGACATTTGTCAGGCATTTAAGCAGAGTTGTGATGCATCGTCTTACATTTGTTCTTTTCCTGCACTTCTTAATTGTGGCTACTTCTTCCACTTGCTTTGTTCATTGCGTTGGTTTTCTTTTTTTCTTACCCTTTGGTTATTTGCCCTTCTAGAAGGTTAAATCTTTAAAGGTTATAACAATACCCATGGAAAGTATTCAGAAGTATTTTACATCGCAGCGTTTCCCCAAGTTACCTGACACAGTATATTTCCATTTCCTTGTGTAGGTTGACAGCCAGACAGTTCCTCTGGGAATAATGTATCCCTCCCTTAAACTACGGTGTTGTTTTCCAATGATAACATAAAATAATCCTAAAAATTCTCTATACATAATGTAGAATTTTTAAGAATGCGGGAGTTTTTCAGAGAAATCCCAAATAGCCTAAAAATAAATTGCTAAATGTATCAACTGCCTATGCCATATATCAATTAAAAAGCAGCATTTATATGAGTATTTAAAATAGTTGCATACCATCAATAGGCTGTAGCCAAATTGTGACTTTAATCATAATTCCTCTAAATGTGGCAGGGAGTTGTCTGACTCAGCCTCTATATAGCATTTGAAAAATGTAAGCTGTGGTCTTGGAGATTCAACCATAAATGAATTTACTCTTTTGAGCTTCTGACTGTCATGTTAATAGTTTAAGGGGCCTTACTTAAAGGATTATCCGAATCTACAAACATTCAAAGGGAAAACATATTAAATGACAGATGAAGTGTCAAGTGCAGTGAAATGGTGCTTTTAAACAATTTTTAGTCAGGCATAAAGAAATGGGATGCTTCCTCTTACTTGTACAACATATGTGCTCAAAAAACCCAACCTGATTCTTTATGTAAAAGCATAGATCTCTTTTGTCTACAGTGTATGGTAAAATATTGTTTTCTGTCTCAGATATTGCTAAGCTTTGTTTTGAGCAACAGCTAAAATACTGTGCAGCTTTGCAGTGTTTTCCAAATCTTTTTGCAATTTGGTTTATTTCACCCAAGTTCGTAATACTTTTCAAGCACTGATACCACTTGAAACCCAGTTCATATCATTTTATAATTAATATGACCTCTGCATCTCATAATTAAATGTAATTTCCTGATTTTTCTACCATGAGGGAGTGTGAAGGGGGTGTTCTGATGCTGCTAATACAATGTTCTGTTTTTCTATAGGAAATGCTATTAGGCCCATCGCGCTCCGTGCAGTGTCTGCTATAGCCCGTGCTCTTCCAGGATTTCCCATCTTAGCAACGGGAGGCATTGACTCTGCTGAAAGTGGGCTGCAGTTTCTGCACAGTGGAGCTTCAGTTTTACAGGTATATTTATTTCTTTAATACATTAAAATTAAAATAACTTTAATTAAAGCTATAATGTATCTTCCTTTCAAATATTATCATAGTGGCCTTTTTTCAACAGTTGAAAGCAGTTTTCAGGTTTTAGACATGTTTCTTGCTAAAAGACATTCATTTTAAGTTGGAGTTTCCAAAAGAAGACTTTGGATGCTACAATAGCAATCTGGGAAAAGGCTGTCCATGAGTATGTCATCACTTTTTTCTATAATCTGTAGGATTTAAATTTCAAACATCTCTCCCTTTCCATACAAGCAAGGCCTACACAGTGTTAAGCTTGAGCTGTTCAATCATCCTTTATTCTTGTTTTATGTCTTCTGCAAAGAGCCTTTTCAAGGAGAGAAGTATATCAAAAAACATTACTTGAGTCTCACTGGGAGTCAATTTAAAGTAACTTTTCTTAATCTGGGAATCTGTGCCTCTTAAGCATGCTTATTGTAAGAGAAGGTGCAGAGCTGCACCTCCTGCATATGGGGTTGTTATTGCAGGCCATAGTATTGAGTAAGGTTTTGGATTGCACACAGTGGTTGAAGCTGTTTACTTTGCCTGATGGGTTAGTGTGAAGCCCTGAACAAACTGGCTGGGTTAGGTAGTCCCTGTTGTGAAAAGGAATCTTGTTTGTTAATGTGGATACCAGAAAATTGGCTGGAAATCAGCCCCTTATCTGCTCTAATAGGTATGTCAGGGCAGCACTGCAGCATATGTTAGACAGATCGATAAGGAGCGCATGGTAGTTAAGTTAGATAGTTCCATTATATAACACTATATTCTGGTAGGTACTTGTCCCCCTCTATGTGGAGTTCCCATCAAAGTCAACAGCAGCTGTAGATACTGGCTTTGTGTCACTCCATGGGATGACTGGAGTGGTTTCATTCTCACAATTCACTGCAACATTAAGAATTAGATTCAGTGTTAGATTCAGTTCATGCACAGCTATGGTGACAACTGACAGTAGTCACGTGTTCACTATATCAATTAAAAATAATTAAAAATTCTAGGGCAATTTGGTATTTTGGTTTGTTTGTTTTTTTAATATGCTTAAAGTTAGTATTTTGGTGAGCTGAAGTGGAAGACAACTGGTATTCTATAGATTTGTTACATTTTTTTTTAGCTTTGTTAATACTATTTCCTATCTTTTAAGTTTGTTTGAGAATGCTTCAAACTTCTTTTCTCATGAACAAACACAAGACCTACCTTTTTTACACCATGTTCTGAGAGCTTCAATTTAAGTGCTAAGTAATGGTACAAATTACAGAGCAGCATTTGTCAACAAAGAAGTAGGATTGGCAAGGGAATGTTTTTAGTGCTATGTGTTTCATTTATTATTGCTAATAATGCTCCAGTTTTGATGACTTTGTCAATTACAATGTTACATGATCTCAACTACACATAACAGAATGATTTTCTGTTCTACTTCTACTACATCTGTTTCTGGATGACTAAAAATGAAGTTTTAAAATGTCATTTATGTATGTTTCCTTTATATAGACTGTGTAGTTGTTTATTTTCTTGTTTTGTTTTTCTTTTTTTTGTTTTCTTCTACTGTGCACCGTTGGTAATGAGACAATGGTAAAGATAATTTTCTTTTATGATAAGATTACCAGTTGCCCTTGAAAGTCTCCAGGGATGGGGCATCAACCACAACACTAGATAACCTGTTCCAGAGCCTCACCCACCCTCATTGTAAAAGACTTTTTCCTTATATCTAACCTAAATCTACTGTCCCTGAGCTTGAAGCCTTTTCCCCTCCTTCTATTGCTACAGACCCTGCTAAAGAGTTTGTCCCCTTCTTTCCTTTAGCCTCCCTTTAGATGCACTGTTATTATTTTCTTTCAACTAATAGTTACGTTCTCTGGAACTAGCTTCCAGAAATTGATCTATATGGTATTCTATGCTTCAGAGAATAATTTCTTTTTCCAAACGGCCTTTCCCAGAGATGATGAAAAAACTCTCACTATATTCAGACTTCATCAGTCTAATCAGCTCTAGAACTGATTTAAAACTCCTCTAGATCAAATCCATCCTCAGTTTGAGTGGCTTATTTTTGTTTCTCTGAAGTAAGGCAGTCATTTGAACTTATCTGAAATAAATGGATATTAAAAGTGCTGCGTATGTAAGGGTCTGAACTAGTTCAATTACATTTATTTAAAAATAAGTCTTTAGAAAACGTCATGCTAGATTGTGAGTATGCCATAAATTTCTCTCATCTAAGGAAAGGCAAATGGAAAAGTGAGGGAAACAGGTAATTTGTATAGACATTTATACAAGGAATACACTTCTCTGGGGCTAGACTGAGACATCCATTTGCTGCACAGGCAAGATACTTTGTGATAAACAGAAGAAGGCAACCTCATCTTCACAAGTTATCTTTGGAACAAGTTATCTCTGACATCAAGGTCATACAAATAGCTGCCTAACATACTTCTCCTTGAATCCCAGTTTTTCTCTTAAAACGTCCTTGATACCAAATGCCTCAGTTCTTTTGTCTTGAGCAGTGAAAACTCCTGTTGCTTTGACAGGTCACTTTTGCTTTCTCAGCAATAGTGATAGACTGCTCCAGAGGCAGAAAGCAAACAGCCAAGGCTTTGGCAGTGTGGACATGCATTCTGCACTCAGCTGTGCCAAATGGGAGCAGTCTCCTCACCTGCTCCCAGCTAAAAACCTGAACCTGCCCACTGGCCAAGCTACCACCACCTTGTTACAAAGAACAGTGTGTGGATGTGCCCTTGTTAGCTATGTTTTAATGGGGTGCAAATTGTCAGTTCATCCAGCATTTAAACATGTTATGTCTGATATAATTAAGCAGCACAGACTGCAGTGATCCATCTGCAGAGGACAGCTAGAGAGCCCAGGATGGTGGTGCTTCTGTGGCCATTGACTTCTCTTTGTTTTGCCTAGACAAGAGTCCAGTGTCTTCTCTGCCATGAGAGGATGATGTTCAGAAGCAAGGAAAATACAAAGGCTTTGTGTGAGTTGATTTAATTGCCATGTGGTCTCTCTTAGAGAAGAAGCTTATGAATAATAAATGTAGCCCCATTAAAACCAAGATCAGGTTTGCCTCTGCAGCTATTTCACCTGTGATCAGTTCTCCATTGTTTGTTTGTTTTTTTCCATTTGCTTTTCTTTTAAAATGTGGGGATTTATTTTCTGTTAACAAAATGGAAATTCTTAATTTTCCATTTACAAAATTGTAGTACACGGGAATGCAAGTAAGGAGTCAGGTGATGAACCCGTATTTTGATGCATGCTCTAACAGCCTCAAATGGTATTGATCAGGTATGTTAGGGAATGGTTCTGGGAAAGAACGTCAGCATTCGCTGTGCATTCTGTCTCCAGCCTTAGAAAACAGAGAGCAGCATTTTAGGCTACTACTGACAAAATGTTTGTATGTGAGGAAGTTTTGCATCAGCTTTCTAAAACACACTGGATCACTGTAGCCAGTTGTAGCTGAAATTAAAATTGTATACAGCAATTTATCCGTATTATTCCATATTATGATATAGTGAGGGAAAAAAGCAACAATTTTTTAACATTTTTCATTAAAATGCTGAAATGTTTTTGTGATTTTTTAGCTGATTCCTTAGGATGGTAGTTCTTTGTAAGGCACCCAAACCCCAACGCCTTTTAAGTATGAGCTTGGAATAAAAAAATAACTCTGTCGTGCACTCCTTTATCCAATCCTGCATTCCTCATATACACAAAGCTCCAGAGCTCCAGAGATGTCTAGCTGCAACTTTTTGATGTACAGTTCATTACTATAGGCTTCCAGTGGGGCTGAAATATGTGCTTTTTCTAGAAGTGAGCTTTTTTTTAAAGCCACAATTAATCAAAATAAGATGTATATTGAATTTTTTGCATCTTTTGCGTCATGTATGTGATTTAGCATGACACATTGATGGTTTGTCAGATTTTTACAAGGCTTTGAAGCAGACTTGCATTTTTCAAAGTCATCTTGCTGTAGGAAATTAAAAATAGAGACAATTATAGAAAATTCCACTGGAAAGAGAAAATGCATTATGGAAAAAGCAATAAAAGCATAAAAATATTAAAGTAAAAATCACTTCACAGTAGCCTGTATGATTCAATTGTAGATCAATATTGTGTAGTTAATGCATTAGCAGTAGAGCATTAATTTGCAATTACCGCAGGTGATCTGATCCTCTGTGTTCTGTCCATTGACATAAATGACCTTTTGTTGAAAGAGATTCTGTAGTCATTATTTCTAGCAGCTGTAACAAAAAAAAAAAAGAAGGTAGAACAAAGGGGTACTTTCTGAAGTATACATTTTTCATGGCAGAGTCTTTTAACATTATATTCTGGTATGGAACACGTTCGCTAATCTCAAATTTTAGTCATTAACTTGAAAAGAATATGTGTTTCTATTCAAGCATATTTCTGTTCTTTTAAAATGGACAACATACCTGTCCCCAGTTTTTCCACCACACAGCCAAGACTGAAAATCCACCCATTTACTGCCTTCTTCTATGGTCCCACCTGGCAGAGAGCAGCCATCAGTGTCACCCCAAGACCTGCTCATGGCATCCAGCTGGAACAGGGCTGGGTGAAGGCACTGCAGCAGTTCAGCAAGGCAATGTGTACTGCTGTACCCTCCTTGCACCAGGACCTTCTGTCACAGGCAAGGAGTGCTGTGGGAGTGCCGGTACCCTGGGGCAGCTGTGTGAGGCTGGCTCTGTCCGTGCCCTCCTCTCCCATGTACTGCTAGCTCTGCATGGCATCTCAGGGGTCAGACCAAGATCAAAACCCCTTCTGGAAATATTTTCCAGATGGGAAACCACCATTTTTTGCTTCTGCAAGATAAAATCTGCCCCCAGTGTGGAACACAGTTGTTTCTATGAGACTGCTTGTATTTTTTGTAACATTTTCAAGGAGATTTCCTGTTGGTACCTCTGTGGAGCCAGAGTCTCAAGGGATTTGGGACAGTTAGATCATTATTTTTTCTTCAGCAG